CTTCTGTTATAAGGGGGTTCATCTTAGTTGTGACTGAAACAATCAGTGAGAGAGGAGCAACCAATTTATATTTTTCTTTACAGGACAGATGCTGCAATGAACTGTCATTAGAGCTAGCTAGCAAGTACAATATGGTTTAAGTTGGTTAAGCAAGATATCTGTGATAATGTGAGAGGTTCCATCATAGTCCTGACATACAACTGCTAACAATGAGGCACTACTGGGATTTGAACCCAGGATCTCCTGTTTACAAGACAGGTGCTTTGACCAACTAAGCCACAGCGCCTCTCTTCTTTAACCTTATATTTAAATTTAATTAATATCTGAGCTGACAAGTGTTTCGCCATAAAAACCGAAAAGGTCAATCAACATGTTTGAATTGTGTTGACTTTGAAGATGAAAGCGTTGCTTTATGTTGTGTTGTTGAAAGTTGTTATTACAGCAATTCCGTTTGATTGACAGCTAGTAGCGTCCAATGGGTGCAGGCTCTACTGTCCTGCTCCTCCAAATATGGTTACCTCTGGTTTCAAAGACCAGGATGGCGCTCACAAACCGATGGGTGACATCACGGAGGGTTTTCATTTCAATCGCAGGTTTGAGCTCAGTTTTATTTATGCAGTAATCAGTCCCTCGGTGCAGTTGGGTCTGGTCAAGTAATCTGAGCCTTGAGTCTGGACTGGACCAGGTCCCTGCCGCTCGTCACTGTCAGTGGTGGCCAACAGCTCATCTCCAGGGGGCGACTTTTCATTCACGTCCATTAACTCCTGTTCACTGGAAATGTCAGTGAGATGAGTCAGAGGGAGATAAGTACGGCAGCTAAGTATCAGAGCCCTATTTAACCTTTCTCAGTTTGTGCAGGTGCATCTATAGAATGCAGCTGTTTTTATATTAATCCTGCAGACATCTGTTCACATCACTGCTGTCACTACTCCTGCAGACGCACTAACAGATATTTTTTTATCTTACTGACATGGTCATGTGTTCAGGGTCTTTTTGGTTTGTGACATTGCTTCTGCTGATCCAAGGTGAAGGTCATAAAGAGTTAACTGAACCTACTCTCATTATTTATGAGAAATATCTGCAAGGCATCCACACCTGCTGCTTCTGCTCCTCCTCCATATCCTCAAATACAACATCAGAAACCTCCTTTCACTGTCCTATGTCTGCACGAGCTTTACCCAGCTCCAGTTTTAGCTCCATTTCCACCTACGGTATATCTCCTAGTTCACCTCCCTATGCCCCATCTCCACCATCTTGTCTTACATCCTGATCCTACATCACCTCACCTATCCCCTCTTGCCCCTGCTCCAGGTCAGAGGTCACAGCGTTCAGACCAGAGCTTAAATAACTCCCATGGATGGAAATAGAGCTGTTGTGGTGTATTGGTGAGAAAGACGGAGCATAAAGGGTCAGGGGGGATTTCAGGGGGTAAACAGAGTGAGTGACTGGGACTCAGTGAGGGTTAGTGCTGTATGAACAGCTGTCAGGCCTCTAACTCTCAGACATGAACACTTGTGTGCTGTCATTGTGTTCGAGGCGCCACAGAGGACTCTGGGTAACAGACGGGCCGCATGAGTGAAAGTTCACAAGGTCCAATCTTTAAAAACGCAGTAATGTTTCCATCACATATGTTGTAGTATATCTAATGTTGTAGTGGATGAAAAGTGAGGTTTCATGTCTGGATGTTTGTTAACGTAGATGATGGTTTTATGCTGAAGGCGGAGGCAGCAGGTTTATCCCAAAGAAAAAGTTCAGAACCATTAGGTTGACCACATCAACACAGGATGGGTTGAAAAATCTAATATCATTGTTAAATGTGGAAACTATTGTATTTAACTCTAACAGTAATGAACAGCTTCATCTAAGCGAATCGATTTTTTTCTTTGTATATAAAAATGTACTAACTGGGGTCTAACACAGCTGACTTTATTCAGAGGGTTAGCTCTATGAAAAAGGCACTGCTGGGATTTGAACCCAGGATCTCCTGTTTACAAGACAGGTGCTTTGACCAGCTAAGCTACAGCGCCTCCATGTGGGTGCATACATTTTGTCTTAAAATTATGATCCAGTTAAAGACCAAAGATTATATAGTTAATACAGTGTGACTTTATTATGGAAAATAGAAGGATCACTGTTTATTCTTGAGATAATGACACAAGACACATCAGGGCTTCAGAGAGGAGACGTCTAAACAAGCTGTGTTTTGATTAAGTGACAGGCACTGCTGGGATTTGAACCCAGGATCTCCTGTTTACAAGACAGGTGCTTTGACCAGCTAAGCCACAGCGCCTCCGTGTGTTTGCTTCCTGATCATATATTTTGTCCTGTGACTGTAACAGTGAGGCTGTGTGAGGAGGTCAATCTATGTTTTTTTGTTATATCAAAAATAAATCTGACTTGGATTAAACATGACAGAGTTAAATCAGTGACATTAAGGCACCGCTGGGATTTGAACCCAGGATCTCCTGTTTACAAGACAGGTGCTTTGACCAGCTAAGCCACAGCGCCTTTACAGTGTATCCAGTCCAGTACAAGCTGAATATAGCATCTGATTAAAGTCTTTTGGTGACGTCCATGAACTGTGTTCATGGGATAAACCTGCTCCAGCTTCTCTTTTTGTGTCTGAGGTCAACTAGCAACGCCTCAGACGCTCTTATCAGTTATTTCTTCTTCTTCCTGTTTGTGGGCCGTGTCCTCGCTGTGCTCTCTCAGGAAAATGTTGAAACAAAACTCTATAACCTGCGATGGATTTTCAGATTAAAGGCACTTTAGTATGCTGCCATATTAATGAGGAACTTGTTGAATAATTCTTTTCCCATTTGATGAATTGGTTTTTGGATTATGTGACTGAAAGATTAAGGTTGACGTGTCCACTGACCTGTGCTGGGTGTCACTGGACATGTTTATCACTCACATGTTATATATATATTTATTTAAGAAGCACTTAAGTTATTGATTCCTGAGAACAAACGCACAATCTGAACTTTCTTTGTGTTTGTGTTTGCACAGATTTCTCCGGGCAGCAAGGCGGCACAGGGAAACCTGATCCAGGGTGACGTTATTGTCGCCATAGATGGCGTCGGCACCGACGGGATGACTCACCTAGAGGCCCAGAACAAGATCAAGATGGCCAATTACAACCTGGCACTCACCATGTCCAAGTAAGAACCAGAGGGGGAAAGTACCTCAAGTATTTATTGCACTTTTTCTGCACTCTGCAGTTCAACAGAGGTAAAACTACATGTCTAGTGAAAACTGGGTTATGACCTAGATCAGGTTTTTATGCCTCCACACAACAGTCTTGGTGGTTTTCAGTCTGGACGTCCGTTTCCCCTCATGTGAACACAATAATGCTTCAGGGGAATTTCTTCAAATTTGGTCAAATTCAAAGATGAACAGTTATAGTTTCGAGGTCAAAGGTCACAGAGGTAGGTGGGCATGTCCTCAGCAGCTCCTTAGGTCAAAGGTCATGATGACCTTTGAGCTAGTGAGCGCCTCGTACACCTCGAGGGGGGAACGTTAGTTTCTTTGGTCTGTTTAAGAGGTTTTTCTGGTCACCTGCTTAGAAACTGATCCAGTCTCTTACAAAACATGAAAACAAAACTGAAACATTCCGAACATATTATTTTAGCAACAGAAATGTTATAATAACACAAGCAGCGGTTTCTCTAGTATTATATCTAAAATTAGAAGATGGTCTTTGGTAATGTAGTCTCAGCTGCTGGGGGGATGCCACAGGGAAGAGCTGTCCGCTGCAGACGTCCATGTTGGGCTGTTTTTGGTGACTCAAATCTCACTCATTTCATCCTGAAGGTTTCTGACTGAGGAGATCTGATAAATTCAGTGAGGAAATGAATGTTGGTCCACACGGAGCCAAGGGCAGAGGCTCATAACCACGAACCCTCTGGGTGATGAAGATAAGACGCTCGGCCGAGGATGAGGGGCTTCTGTCTGTTTCTTCTCATCATGTTTTCATGTCATTTAAGTTGTTTCATTAGTGTAAAGTGGACGTTGAGGCCGGTGGTGGACGGCAGGAGGCATGGATCAGGAAATAGACATGAAGCTCGGACACACAGCGGCACATATACAGTAATAGAGTCTGTTTGACCTCTGCTTGCCCTTCGCACTGATGTAATCTGCGACACAGAAAACACACACACACAAAGCAGAGGGTACACAGAGGACGCAGAGACTGGTGGACACAGAGACAGGCCGACCAGCGGCAGACTGATAAGCGTTACCATGCCTGAAGTAATCAAAGCCACTAACTGAAAATTAAGAAGTAAAGATGAGGTTTAAGTTTGGATTTAAAGGCCTGGACAGAGTCAGACAGTCTGATGTGAGCAGGGAGGCTGACGGGGACTCGGTAAGAAAAGGCCCCTGCAGCCGACTTCTTTTTAACTCAGGCCCTCTGAGACCGAGCAGCACAGGATGGAGTGTGAGGTTTAAAGAGATTAGACAGGTATGAAGGGGCCTGTAGGTCATCAAAACCAACTTAAAGTCCGATCTGACAGGAGGACGGAGCCGGCGGAGGGGAGATAACATTTGTGTAACACGGTGACTTGTTGTGGATTGAGTACAAATTCAAGCTGCTGTGTTTGGAACCATCGGATGAGTCTGGAGTACGATTATCGTTGATACAGCAGGTCTGAAAACATCATGTTACAGTGATCCGGTGAATCAGCCAGGCAGGGAAGACAGAGGTAGAAGTTCTGATGTGCGGATGTATTTTATGTGCTCATCAAGAGAGGATAATTTATTATAGTGTGTGTGAACGTTCTGATCCTCTGCTCCTGTTGCTGGGATTTGATTGATTATTTCTGTTTCAGTTTTCTTGAGTGGAGGGATGTATTATTTCTTGACCCTGAGGCTCAGAGACACTTTCTGTCGTCCGTGACCTTTGACACTTCATTTCTTCCTTTGTTTCTTATTTGTAGCTGAGGAATAAAAGCTTTTTCTTTTCTCTTCCTATAGGAGGTGCTTGTGAAACAAGTGTGTGTCCCTCTGTTGATTAGTAAACAGAGTATTTCCATCACAGCGACCCACATACTGAAGGATCTCATGGATAAAAAACAAACTGATCTCAAAATGTTCCCTGATTTTACATTAACACAACAAATTCCTTGAGTTTCACACAAAATAAGACTTTTACTGAGGAGAAGGTTTGGATTATTAAAGTATCATTCCTCAACAAAGGTGATGTGACAGTTTTCTATCTTAAAGATGCCAAAACACTGGTATTATTTTTAGTTTCAACAAGTTAGATTGAGGGATATTAATGTGATGAAAGGAGCAGGGCGTGAAAATAAAGCCCTCATTAGATTATAATCAACCTTTTTTTATATATATATTTCTTTATCACATCCTGTGTTTAAATGAAATAAAGAGATGTGATGCAGTGTGGAGAGGATTCAGACTCTACACAATGCAGAGCAGCACTCAGTAGAGCTCGTTCCTCCCACAGACACGTCTTCATGTCTCTGATAAAAACTTCTCTCAGTGTTAAAGACCACCTGTTTTATTTTCCTTCCTGCAGGTCCAAGCGTCCCGCTGTGATGCCGGTACCGAGAATGGATGCCACGATTCCCATGATCCCTCACCAACAGGTAACACTACCCAGAATGCATCTGTACCCCTGCTAACTGCAGCAGAGGCTCCACCGTGAATAGATCTGCCTCCGGATGTGAACTGTGTGAACGTATTAATGAACTTTAACAGAACAGTTTAATAATTTAAACATTGAATTATTTCCATTGTTTGAATCTTCAAAGGGATTTTCTCATCGTCTTGTTTCATTTTTTATTTTTTTGTTCTCAATACATTTGGACTGTATGATTATTACAGCATGCTGTCACACGCACACGCACACACACACACACGCGCGCGCACACACACACACACACTGTGGAGAATCTCCCTCAGACTGAGGATGTTTCAGTCACACTAGTCCAATGAGCTGCTGCCACCTGGTGGCCACAGGAATTCATGGATGTTTTCACAACAAACCACAGATTGTGTGATTGTATTCTCGTGTCGCAGAGTGAATAAATGCAAGTGATCGATAACTTTTAATCCCTGATTTAAATAATTAGATTAATTAAAAAGATGCAAGAAACATGACAATAATCATTTATTAGTAAAACATGTATGAGAAATGAATGATCAAAATGTACATCATTTATTTTTCTTATTCAAAATAAGACACAGACATATTTATTCACTTAACTTCTAGGTTTTATTTTGATAGGATTTTTTAGTGTTAAAGAAAAATCCATAGAAAATAACATTACCTCTAAAACATATTGATGAGGTGTTGATAGTTCTCTCCTCCTCCCGTCTCCTCCCTCCTGACTCCCCTTCCTCACCTGAAGCCTCAGTCAGTGCACGTCAATGGCCGCCTGTCGGCCTGCAGTGCCTCCTCCGGGCCTGCAGAGGCAGACTCTCCTGGGAGGAGAGCGGCCAGCCCTGCTCAGAGGAAGCAGTATAACTCCCCCATCGGCCTGTACTCAGAGGAGACTCTGAGGGAGATGGCGGCGATTCAGGAGGGTCGGCCGACGGGGTACGTAGAGAAGAGGAGGCCCGAGGAGACGCCTGGTGTCAGGTTAACGAACTGGGGATGAGGTGGAGCCGCCCTGCTGGCAACAAGTGGAACAAACTTAGATTAATTCAGTTTAAATTCATGTTCGGTTCAAATCGCTGATGCTAACATTAGCTTTGACCACGTTAGCTGGCTAGCTAGTATACCAGAATCAAACCGTTTACTCAACTCAAAGATTATTTCTGAATGAACCGAACCACAGATGGTAAATACGACTTTCTTAGAAAAGAAACCAAAACATGTTGATCGCCCCCTGGTGGCTGACTGCAGTATAGGTCATAAACCCCGCCTCCTCCTTGTTAGCAGATGGGACATGGACCAAACTACATGTCCCACTACTTGTTACTACTAATGCGTGTATGGGCGGAACCTCGACACCACGGCTCCGCTTCTGTTTAAACTCTGGCTCCAAATGACGTGAATATCGTGACACCCTTATCTGAAACGTTTTATGTTTTTATCTATATTTATCGTTTGACTCAGCCAGATTATCTGCTGCAGCTCCACCTCAGAACCTCCGAACATTAAGCTGACACGCTGAGCGACACACAGCCTCCGTACGACTAACTAAGAGAAGGAGAAGAGTGAGCTCATCAGAACTTTTAGTGTCTTCAAATCCCCCAAAATCAAAACATGAGCTCAAAAATAACCAAAATAGAAAATGAAGAGTCGTTGGTGACGATTAAAGATCCGGTGGAAACCAGAAAGAGACGAGGGTTTAAAACAGGAAACGAAACCGAGATGTTTAAGTGATGGAGGCGGTTAGTGAGCGCTGACGAGGAGGAGGGTGAAACGTCTCTGAGGCTCGTCCAATAAGGATCACCTTAAAGGTTAATGATTGTGTCCCCAGAAGGATGTTCAGTCCCCACGGTGGACACAGATGTCCCCACAGCATGAGCAGTACACACACACACACACACACACACGCTCCTGCAGCAGATCAAAATACACACGTCCACTTTAAACACTCACATCCTGCAATTAGAGGTGAAAATGTGACTGTTACCATAACTGTTCATAATCATAGCATCACACACACAGACACACACACACACTTCTACCCAGCATGCCTGTGGTGTTTCCTCAGTTAACAGTGCGATTCAGTTACTGCTTCAGCAAAGATGCCAAACACCTGTTGGTTCCCCTGGCTGCTGTTAAAGGTCAGGGAACCTTCTGGACACACACACACACACACACACTAACAATCAGAGAGTTTTTATGATCGTCAATCTTCTATAATTACTTTACGGCAGCGTACAGTAATTATAATTTATTATTTTTACTTTCTAGTGAATCAATATTGAAACTATCAGTTATCATGAGATTCACTGAATCGCTCGGTTTCTAAAATGTGTGATGATCTCGTTAAGAACTGAAGTGACGTCATTGGATTGTTTGATTTCATCCGAGTGTTCTTCACTCAGACGAGGGATTGGGTTCAGGTGATCACTCGATTATCAAAATTGTCGCTGATTAACTTCCTTTCAAGGAGCTAAATAGATTTTAGACAGTGTTTGGTTGCAGGGCTTCATGGACGTTAAAATCTAAAACACTCTATAAACTCCATTTATCCATGAAACTGTCGTCATCTTAAACCTGAAAACAAACTCTGACACGTTTCGTCAGGTTTTAAAATGTTTGCCTTGTTTTGTTTTTTTTTTGATATCTGAGAATCTCTCCTCACTCAGGTTCGACAGCTCCGCAGCCACGGACGCTCCGACTCCTCCGTCTTTACCTCGGCTCCTCTCTGACCTCTGACCTTTATTCCCCTCCTCTCTTTAGCCCCGACGATATCACAGTTCTGAAGTGAAGGGTTTTCTAATGACTTCATCTCCTCTTTCTTTCTATCTTTTCTCTCTCGCCTCCTTTCTGTCGGACCAAACAAGGTTTTCTCCCCAGCTCCTCCCAAGTTAGTATCCTCCCCCCCGTCCTCCCGTCCTGTGTGTTTGCTCTGTTTGGGTTTTTTAAGGCATGGTTTGCTTCTGTGGCTGAGTTTAGATGCACCCTTTGTTGGGATCAAGTCTGTGGCCAATAATACGAACTGGGTAAAATTACAAATCACAGACTGGTGAGAATAGTTGGTGTCTTATGTCCTATTGAAGCAGTTTACTCTGTTTTTAATCCTTCATCGTGTTTCTAAGAGAAAACATCAGCTGACCTGCTTTAGCAAATATACTGCATGTCTAAGAGATCACGTGAAATCCTTCTGTGTTGTGTGAATTCTCTCGTCTACAAACGGAAGCGTCCCTGTTGCCAGGGTGTCGCTAACCAGTGAGGCCAGACACTGATTTATTAATAAAAACCCAGGTCACAGGGATCCACAGCGAGAACCTTAACAACTCTGCGTCAAAAATAAATCCAGCGGAGTCAGATTTGTCCTCCAGGGATCCAGTGTTGGATCACAGTGAGGTGTTCGAGATTACATCCCGACCCACCCGACTGACTCCACAAGCGTAGTTTATAAAAATGGACGTAGACACTGGGCCTGGAAAGTGAAGCCAATGCTGAGGTGCCCGAAACCTGCAGTGTCCTTGAGGTCTGAGTCAGGCTCCACCCCTGCTCCTCCTAATAAGGGCACTTCTGGTTTCATGAACATGCGCCCGTGTTTCTGAAAAGCTGCTGTTGTTGTTTTTAACCCAAAAAAAGATAAATGATTCTGCAGCTAATTAAGAAACAGCGACTTCATTATCCATCAAATCCCCTCTGGGTGTTTGTGAATGTTTGTCTCTGCATGACTCCTGAGACAAATTAGAATATTATACTAAATACAGAATACTGAATGCAAGTGATTCAATCGGAGCTGCTCGTCTGATACGATCGTGTGCGTTGGCATTTCTGCTCCGACAGTAAAGGTCACGGTTTGACGTATGTTTCTGCTGAAGTGAGCTGCTGTGACATTTCATGGTGCAGGCATGTGGATCGCTGAAGCAGGTTTGATGGATGTTTTATTTAAACACGAGAGATAAGATGGAACTTGTCGTCCTGATGTGCTGTGTTGGTTTGATGTGTTTTAATTAAACTGAAAATCGGCAGAAGAAAAAAGTGAAGCTGTGTTTGAGGAAAGTAGAGAAATGGGATTTTAAATGTGTGTTTGCTGTGAGCATGAGCGTCCTGGACTTTTCTTCTTTTTAACACAAACCTCCGTCTGCGACATCATCTCTTCACCTTTTCCTCCCACTCTCCTTCACTCCACCTCCCACCTCTTCTTCTCTTCCTCTCTCCATCACTGCCCGTCACTCCCACCTCGCCCCTCTGCCCAGCAGTGCCGGCTTCAACCCCACCGCGCTCTCTACCCATAACCCCATCGAGGTGAAGGGCCCCGGCGGTAAGGCCACCATCATCCACGCCCAGTACAACACGCCCATCAGCCTGTACTCGCAGGACGCCATCATGGACACCATCGCAGGGCAGACGCAGAACAAGGGGCACGACGTTGGGTAAGAGCGTCACCACCTCTTCCCCCTCCTCCTCCTCCTCCTCCCTTTGTGTCCCTTTCTTTCTGTTCTCCTCTTCCTCCTGTTCACACTCCTCCTCCTTCACACACTCTTCCCTCCTCCTCTCTCCTCCTGTCAGTGATTCAGTCCGTCAGCTCGGTTGTTGTTGTGTTTTGTTGTCGAGGTCAGAGATGGTGGTTCGGTGTTGTCGTCAGTGGATCAGAGGATCTGATTGTGTGTCGAAACGTCCTCCTTCATTCTAAATGTCACATACAACATTTATCACACGGACGTTTTGTCGACACACGTTCAGATTGAGTGTTGGACCGTTGCTGGTCGGCACGTTGATCTCAGCTCATTGTGAACACTGTGGTTTGTGTGTCGTACACTTGCACAGCTGGAAGAATGTACATCTGTCCATCACTCTCGTGAACACGATCATGAACGACTCAAACGAATTTCTTCAAATTTAACACAAACGTCCGCTCAGACTCACAGATTAACTGATTAGTCAAAGGTCAAAGGTCACCGTGACCTCACCGGTCTGAAAGAAAATAAGATCTTGACTGACGCTGCTCTGGTTGGCGGAGACAAACAACCACAGGGTTGTTCAACAAACATTTTTTAGGGAAATGTTCAACCAATAAATCAGGAATAATAAAAAATAATTTTCAAATCAAAGACAAACTCAAATGTGTGACTTGAGTTTCACTTTAACGTGCACGCTCTCTGCCTGGAGACGGTTGTTTGCATCTTGGCTTCTTGATTTTCATGTTTCCTTAATGAGAGACAAATGTTGTTGTCGTTGTTGTCGTTGTTTGCGTCTTCCTGCTCGGATCAAACTAACAATTCATTTTCTGAATCTGTTGGAAAATTGTATCTTCTCTTGTTTTTTGTTTGAGAGGGACGAAAAGTGATATTGCTCCAAACGTCTTCGAACACATTCTTCATTTCAGCGTCTGTGTTTTAATCCTCCAGTGAAGCAGCTGGAATTAAAATGTGACTCTGATCAGAACCATCGAGCCGTGATGAGAAAACATTTACACTGAGTCCTCCTCCTCCTCCTCCTGCTGCTGCTGCTGCTGCTGCTGCTGCTGCTCGCTCATCGTCTCACCACACTCTCGGTTGAAATACAAAACTAAACAAAAGTTGTGTTTTCTTCCACCGGAGAGCGAACACATGAAAGAAAGAAATTCTAGAGGGTTAAATTGATATTAAAAAATGTTCTGAGCCT